GAAACAGTCGCATGTAGGAAAATGATTAGCTTGAAGGCTTCTCCTGGTGATTATTTGGAATTGAAGGGGGAGAAGAAAAAAACTGCCGATAGCTCGGCCAATGGTATACAGTTGCTACCGAACTTTTTGATATATAATGCTTTTCGTTTGGATTTGAAATATTCAAAGAAGCTCGGCTCGACGAAGGGTGGATAATGACCATTAATGAAATAACCAATGGATATTAAGGATTAATATTCAGCCTCTCGAGTTCATATTCGGCTAAAGGAATTTAATATAACGCTAATTAGAACTTTGTTTAATATTTTAAATAATTAATGGAAGAACTCGTTGTTATCCCCCCCCCCCATCCCACCCCATCCCACCCCACCCCACCCCACCCCATCCTACTCCTACACCTCGCTCTTCAACGTCCCCTTAAAATCCCACCTCACCCATGGAAATTTGAAGACGGAGCTACATACGAACTGGCAACTTTCATAGTAATTATAACATTAAATTGAAATTAAAAATGAAGTAGGATCTTTGGGACAATGCGAGAGCAAGTAATCTCGCTAGGTTATTCATTATCTCATTATACGATCCTCGTCATTCGACATTATATAAACAATCGTGTTACAACTGTCGAGAATCGCATTTTTAAAGGAGCCTTATCGGCCATTGCAGGCGGCTTTTTCTACCGGCGACGTTAGCCATTATTAATCAAACGGACCGACTTCGGAGACTGAACCAGTTTTAATAGACCCGGCAATTCCGTCATCGGATGCGAGATTCGAGATTCGCCGCGTCCTCCTCGTAAACAACTACCCAACTCCCCAACTCCCCTGCCCGCTCCATGCTCCTGCATAATTATTCTTCGTCGCTGTTTATCCTTTTGGCAATGTATGCGAACGTGCGCAAGCAAAGTAAATAGATAAACGAAGCGGAATAAAGAATGCCCTACCATAAAGCGGAACGTACGTTAGTGTGTCGTTCGACTGTCTGTCTGTCTGTCTGCCTGCCTGCCTGCCTACCTGCCTGCCTACCTGCCTGCCTGCCTGCCTGCCTGCCTGCCTGCCTACCTACCTGCCTGCCTACCTGCCTGCCTGTCTGTTTGCATTAAGAAAAAAATTAAATAAAACAATAAAAAGCAAAAAAAACCAAGAGATAGAAAAAAAAAAAGAAATAGAAAAAAAAAACCAATAAATAACTTAATAAGAAAGTAAAATAACATGAAATTCAAAGAATCGTAAAAGAAAAGCACTTTTTTCTCCTTGTTGTTGTTATTGTTGTTATTGTCGTTATTGTTGTTATTGTTGTTATTGTTGTTATTGTTATTGTTGTTGTAATTTCTGCACTAACGACGCGCGGCCTCCGTCAAATACTAAAATTTCTCATTAATCGTAGACCTTTCTTCCGCGCAGCCAAACAACAGCCAGCCGAGGTATTGGCGAAATGCAACGTGTGCTATACCACGCCCTGCCAAAACGGAGGACTATGCGAGGCGCTACCGGACAAACAGTTTCGTTGCAAATGCGCGCCAGGATATCACGGGGACCGGTGTCAATATAAAATTGACGCGTGCTATGGAAATCCTTGCCGGAACGCCGGAACTTGCAAAGTACTGGAGGAAGGAAGATTCAGGTGATTTCTTGCGAAACCCCCGGCGAATCAGCTTATCGCGGGGATGTGATCGGCCCGTCCCTCGTTTGCTCGCTCGGCGCGTCCGACGGTTAGTAGCACGACCCGTCGCTTTCTCGATCATCGTCGCGATAACGCAACTTGAACAAACGGACGATAAGCGCGCTAGTCGACCACCGCGCTTCCGCCCCTCGAATAAACATAAACTTTTATACATGTGTAAGTAGCGGCAGCTAAGTGCATTCGGTTTCTCTTGTTGCCGGCGTCTCGCGGCTGAGCTTCCGAAGCCCAAGAGTTGCTAAATGCACGCCAAGCAGCGGATTACGAGGGTGCTTTCGATTTTTCCTCTATATCTCCGAGGCTTAACCCTGCTGATAAGTTGGCCGCCTTGCTCGATTAACGCAATTGAAGGGGAATTTGCTTTTTTCCTTAACAAACAATGTTCATGTTTTTTTTTTTTCTTTTTTGTTCTCGGATTCATTTAAGACAGGCAAAACTCGAGCTTCTCATTCTCATTGAGAATTTGTGTAAAGTAGAGCGTCGATAGAAATCCTTTTTTATAGGGCTCCCCTTATTTGTTTATTGATTATTCTTTGTCAATGCTATAAATCTAAATATTTAATTTTTCTCTCGTAATCAGCTTTGCTAATGAAGGGTTAAAAGGATATATATATATATATATTTTTTTTTTTTTTTTTTTTTTTTTTTTTTTTTTTTTTTATAAGAAAGGCCGTTTGCTTATACACATTATAACATGCAATACAAGATTCTTTCTAATTAACTTTATTTACAATAATAAGTAAGTTGGACATTTTATTTTCTTATCAAATTGCTTTTTTATTCATGTTATTATTGTCGTCTTCGATGCCGCCGTCGCCGTTACCGTTACCGTTATTACTTTTACTGCAAAAATAGTTGTTATTGCTGTTGTTGTTGTTGTTGTTGTTGTTGTTATAATTGTTATTATTATTATTATTATTATTACTATTACTATTATTATTATTATTATTATTATTATTATTATTATTATTAACGTGAGGGTTGCGATTATCGTTATCATTATTATCATTGTCATTAATAAGCTTTTGCTTTGGACAACAGTAATAATTTGATTATTTGATATTCCATTTTCAAATTTGCGAATTTCACATAAATTTAATTTCGCTTAACTAATGCGCTTTTATTTAAAATTTAAATCAGCATGAAATTCGCCGAGCTAAAGTAACGTACAGCTGCTCGGAAGGGGGAGAAAAATAAACGAATGCCACCGAAATTGCAAACTTAATCGAATTTATAAGCGTGAAGGAAACTTAATTAATCGTAACTGGTTAAGAGGGACAATGGCACAAAGTTTCTTTTCGCTAATTGCGCAATGGAATATCAGCGAAAAAGTGCCGCCTATCTCGCTTAACCTGTCACGATCAATTAAGACCACTCGAACGCAAAGTACCAATGGGCAAAAAAGGATCGTTCCCACGGAGACGAGGACGACGAAAGTACGGGGTTCGATCGGGCAAATGTGGCGCCCAGCCAAATTCGCGACATCCGAGCAAAAGAGTCGAGAACGAGCGCCCGATCACCGACAATTATGGGGATGGGCGTTGGGAGGGGATGGCGGAGGAGGTACGAGGATAAAGAGATATTGTTTTTTTTTTCTCTTTGCCCGACGACACGCAGTTGCAACTGCACACCCGGATACGAAGGACTCAGATGCGAGAACAACGTCAACGACTGCGCGAGCCACAAGTGCGTCAACAACGCCACCTGCGTCGACCTCGTCGAGGCCTACCATTGCGACTGCCTACCAGGATTTACCGGCCAGTACTGCGAGGCAAAAATACCCTTTTGCACAAAGGAACACAATCCTTGCAAGAACGGAGGCAGATGCGTCGACCACCAGAGCCACTATAGCTGCGAGTGCCCGAGCGGTTTCGCCGGTGCCAATTGCACTGACAACCTGGATGACTGCGATAATAATCTGTGCCAGGTAAGGGAACTCCAGACGTGTTTGTATTCTTGTTTATGGCTATGCCAAGCATTGCGCGGAGATTGCGCACTTAGCGACTACATCGTTTTCATCTCGACTGGATTTTCCATCTTTTTGGCCGACAATCTTCGGCCTATGTCGCGAGAAATGGCGCATATAATTAAGCTCTACAACAACAATAAAAATGTAGTCTTGCCTACCAACGCATTCTACCCACTCAACCCCCCCCCCCTTCCGTCCGTCCGTCCGTCATACGCTAAGATTTAAAAATAGCCAATCGGCAGTCTGTAAATATTTTAATAAGCGTGCAACATTTTATGTCGACGTATTTGTAAATTTACCTAGCAGCTCGAAATGCTTGATTATTACACGATTGATCCGATAACTGTGAAAGTAATTTGTAACGCTTTATCGATAATTATATTCGTTATTGAAGTTATATTATTTTAAAAGAATAATTCTGTAATTGATAAATCTTTTTTCATTTTCAGGGCAATCCTACATTTATATTAATAATTACATTGGTTTGATTATGAATTTTACATTAATTTTTAATAAACGAAAATTGTTGAATCGAAGGCATTTTAATAAATTTTAAAATATTATTTAATTACAATTCTTCGACAATGTATTTGTATTTTCAATTAAATGGCGAAAGCTGTGGATGAGTTCTTATAAATTACTTGGACAATGTTGTTCATAATTTAATCCCCGTGAAATTAATTAGACGCACTTCAACGCTGCTTGTATTGACTTTTTAAATTAACGAAGCAAAAATTGATAACACCGTAAAGTGAACAGGTTTAACAAGAATTAAACATTCAATAAATTAATTATTCGCAAATATTTTTTCATTTGTTTAAAAATTCTATAGATCCCGCAACCATAAAATAAATTTATTTCAATAATATTAAGCATTCGGACATTGCGCATTAATAATTATTCTTGTAATATAACTTCAAAGGTAGCTCTCGTGGACATAAAATGCATGCAATACTCGCATGTATCCATAAACTTACGTGTTTTCCAGTAATGTACAATCGAAGCTGTAAGTCAGTGTTTCTTTAAGTCGTAAAAGTCAAATGGTTCTCTCTCAAAGGAGTCTCACGTGACACGAGCCACTTTCCAGCTCGAGCAGCCGCAAAATTTTTACATGAGAAATACATTTTACAAAAACAAAAAAAAAAAAAAAAAAAAAAAAAAAAAAAAAATAAGGATAATAAAAGAAAAAACAAGAGAGAAGGAAAGAAAGAAAGAAAGAAAGAAGAAACGAATGTCAATGAATATACACTTACATATGTCTATCTACAAACAATGACGTTAACGAAGAGTATCGGCATTCGCCGTTAAATGTATTAGAGGGTCCGCGATATCTGAAGATTGAGGTCATCAATTCGCGATATAAAGCTGATTATGCGTGTTGTATATGTTCTTTACGGTTGGTCACTCGTCACGGCTCATATCACCTTGTTGTTTTTTCTCTTCTCATATACTTTAAAAAGAGGTCAGGATTTTCATCCTAATCTGATGGAAAACAGAATGCGTGTCGCCGTTAATTTCATGCGGTATTTCATGTGAAAACTGATTACGTTTTGGATTTTACACGGATAGGGAATTTCATTCAAATGAATGCAAATTGTATTTAATTATGAGCTTAACGAATGACTTCTACACAAAATGCCTTCGTCGCACTAAAATAACAATAATGTCTGTATTTAATCCCTTATATACTATTCTTTTCAACAAAACACACACACTCTCTCTCTCTCTCTCTCTCTCTTTCATTCTTTCCTCTTTATCTCTCTTTTTTTTCTCGCTAAAGTTATTTCACTGCATAAAATAATTAATATACGACGTCACCTGCAGGTACATGGTTAATAAAGATAAACCGAAGTTTGTTTTAATTCGCGAAACGCATGCCACCCTGAGTATTTAAAGGGGAAAAAGAAAGGTAAGAGAACATTTTCACTCCACTTCTTAAATTACTTATATTCGGAAAATTCGAGCTCCGACGAAGTAAAAGACAAAAAATTTCACAGTAAAACACACACTCGATGGCTTAAATTGAGTGAATTTGTGACGCGCAATGCCTTGGCTTATCCCATAGACCGATCACCTCAATCACCTCACTCACCCGCGATTGAAAACTTATTGAATTCATTTGTAGAATGGTGCTACCTGCATCGATGGCATAAATAATTACGAGTGTAAGTGTGCACCAGATTATACAGGGAGGTACTGCGAAGTTGCACCATCAACTGCCTTACTATACCCTCAAACTAGTCCGTGTGCTCATCACGACTGCCAACATGGTGCTTGCTTCCTACCATCGCCGGGATCTGGAGCAGACTACTTGTGCCAATGCCATCCTGGTTATACTGGTGCGTGTCAAATGGTTTTGAACATACTTTTAGAGAATCCAAGCCCCTTGTCGATTCCGGCCATTGCTCTATTTTTACCATTTACGCATAATTTTTATGAAATAATATCAGCGCCATCTCGTACTATCGACGCTCGTCCAATTGCAATAATCGAGCTACAATCATTTCAACATCATCGGCATTTTTTTATTTATTTATTTATTTTTTTTTTTTTTTTTTTTTTTTTTTTTTTTTTTTGCAATATTATTAGGCTGATATTGCCGATTCATCCGACACGTTTTACCAAATCACTTTCTGTTATAATTAATTGTCAAACGCGTGTCCGAATTACTTGAATTATAGCCCAACGTCGCAACTATATATTACAAATTTATTAAATTCCACGGCAATTTAAGTATCGTGACATTTCATACGATCGAATAATAAATCATGCGATCATCCCTTCATAACCGATAATGAAGAAATAAAGCTCGTTGTTATTTCACGAATATCAGTCGATAATCACTCCACATCAATTTCATACGATTTTTCAGTTTATAAATTTTTTAAAGGCTAGCTTAAGAATAATAGCCTCTCCTCCAATTACGTTTAAGGGCCCATAAAGTCGCGGTGTTATTATGCTAAAACGCGAATCCGCCAATTCCTCCCTATTATAATTATCCATAACTTGGTATAACGTTCGTGTATCGGTTATTCATTGTGATGAGGAACGCGCTCTTAAATCGACATTAAACTCGAGTTATTGAGGCCCCAGGGCTCCCGAGTCTCGGGCAATTAAATTGTAAAATACATCGACTACTGCTTTGGCGCGGGATAAAAAGCGCTAATTGTCCGTGGAAGCTCCATTAGTCGTTTTTCGTTTTTTGTTTTTTATTTTTTTATTTGTTATCTTTTGCTTTTATGATTTTGGCTTTTGTGGACGACGCGTACGTTGTGACACAAGTGGTCGAAAAGTCGGCGGCGAAGGGTCCCGTAAATTCGTTCGGTCGCGCGCCTCGTAAATTTTCCGAGCTTGCCTCGCCCGCTAATCGCCACTCGGCATTTACTTTCTCGCGGCTTAACTTTCCTCGTGAGACGGCAAAAAGGACGGATTTAGCGTCAGCGCCCACGCGAGAGACTCGAGCCCGAGCCCAAGCCCGAGCCCAGCGGAAAATCAGCTTTAACGATTGACCCCGAGAAGTTCGTGAGAAGTTCGTGAGAAGCTCGTGAGAGAAGTTCCCGCGCTGTGCGTGGTCGGTGACGCGACACGTGACGTGAAGGGGGAGGGCCGTCACCTGGTGTCAACTAGTAACATGCTCATTTAGAAGTGGAAGAGCCACTTACGTCCGGGACTCGACTGATTAGGATGACGAATGCATTCTCGGGGCCATACACGCCCACGGGGAATGTAAATTTTAAGGGCACGAGGCTTTTTCCGTGTCACCGGCCGATAGGATCGACGCGAAGGAGGCGTTACTCTCGACTGTTTCCGAAATGCCTCGCGATGCCCGTTAGTGCTTCGTCTCGCTACTTTCACGTGCTCAAAATTGCGATTCTCATCACGGCGAGCAAAGAATGGAAAATGCTCTTCCCCCCCCCCTCCTCCTCCCCCTCCTCCTCCTCCTCCTCCTCCTCCTTTATTGCTGTCCTCTTTCCGTCCACGGCGTCCGCCCGCCGCCCTCTTCTTCTTTATATTAATCAAGCTGCTGTCTTGTCCACGATGACCC